AAATATAATTAATAGGAATAAAAACTAAAAAAAAAACATATAAAACATTGCACGGCCACTCTGTGCTAATTATATATTTTAAAAAATAAATGTAGAGGTAGGAATTGCAATTAATATAAATCTCAAAGTATTCACAACATTCCTGAACAGAAATAGGCCTCTGCACCTGGGGTGAGGGTGTGGCCATGAAAACAATGTGACATGCCATTGGATGTTGGGACACATAATAACATGACGCTAAGCATCGGCCAATGAATGTGAACTAACAACCACAAGGTCGTGGGTATGGCTGCACTGTAGGAAAAAATCCTAATATAAAAGTATTTTACTGCATTTTACAGTTTTGTTCTGTTCTTCAAGAATATCATTAAAGTTAGGTAAATAGACTGTGATTTCACATTTCAAATGTAAATTAACGTTAAATCACTGTAATGCAATAAAACATAATTTTATTGATATATTGATATACCTTTATTAGTCCCACAAGGGGAAATTTCACAAATATATGTCCGTTATTTGAAAGATTGAACTGTTGAATTCAAATGTAATGCTATGGATTTGATTTGATATACCTTTATTAGTCCTACAAGGGGAAATTTCATAAGGCTGCCAACCTATTGCACGCAATGGCGGCGCCATCTTACCCTCCGACCATACATACATTACACAAAACATCACATGGGGAAGACAGGTCAGAGAGGTATAACAATGGAAAATGCACCACATGAGGAAAGATAAGGAGAAAAAAAGAACTCCCCCCAGACTGAGCTCCAGCAGGGAGATCAGTTTGAGAACAGAAAAAAACACCTCTGCACATAGCACATGAAAAAACTCTTAATACACCAAAGAAACACATGACAAGCAAGCAGGGGTGGGTAAAGGGTGAGAGACAGCCGATTTAGACAGTACATCCGGGCCTGCAGCCTGTACGCTGGTCTCCTTGATCCACCGTCAGCATCGGAGGGGAATAAGCGTCGAAGGCGTTTGGAAAGGGAGGGGGGATGAGTGTGTGGAAAAGTATATAACATGATTCCTATAACCTTGTGTTACATCACATAAGTATTATTATCATTGCTATTTAGGGCAATTGCGGCTCAAGAGTTGGCAGTTTGCCTTGTGATCAGAAGGTTGCCGGTTCGAGCCCCGGCTCGGACACTCTCGGTATTGTGTCTGTGGTCAAGACTCTTCGCCTACTGGTGATGGCCAGAGGGGCCGATGGTGCGATATGGCAACCTCGCCTCTGTCAGTCTCTCCCAGGGCATGCAATCCATTATTATTTAAACCAACTGTTAACTGTATATTTCTGTACATTTACGTATTATGATTCATATTGCCACATTCATTGACCTTGTTTATAGGTAATTTCATTGTTTGATCACGTTAAAATGTTCCTAATTTGATGTCTAAAAGCACTTGGAGAAGGCAGAATCCCATGTGAGATTAGCGTAACAAACTGTATTTTCATTACTGAAAATAACTGTATTTTCATGAGGAAGTTATTTTCTGTTATTTTACGGTAGTATTTTGGCGCCCCAGCTGCCAGAATATTACAGTTTTTTTAAGATGTTTTTTTTAACAGTGTACTAGATGCAATGGGCTGGCTTTGTGTCTTCTTAAACATTCAAGCAGAACCTTGATGTGTACTGAAACTTTCCTGTACTCAATCCATACCTATGATTTCAGCACCAAGTCTGCAGGCTATTGTTTGTGGACAGATGGTGAAGAACACGGTCTCATTTGTGTGTAATAAGTCGTTACTAATTGTCTGCAGATTGGATCAATGTTCTATTCTGCTACAGCTCAGCTCCTTGTCTGTGTATTACCATAGACTGCACTGCCACCATTTATCACTGCTGGTAGAGGAAAAGTCCTTTTAAACTCATTATTAAGGCAATTTTGCTAGAACTACTTTAATTATAGCAAGAAATCATTTCTTTTGTGGCAAAAATTGAACCAATAGGAATTCATTTATGAGGTTTTTAAGGCATAAATGCATACATTCCCATATACATGAATAAACACAGCTGCCACACACAAGCTTTGCTCTAATTTTTCCTATCAGCTGGCAATGCCATTCACTGATATCTTAAAGAGCTTATGGATTACTTTTGAAGATCTGTCACTCTAATTTTTCACGATTGCAAAGAAGAGCCTTGTGCGACATTAATTCCAACAGCACCACAAGCCAAATCTATAGTGATACTCTCTGTGGTTTGACTGAATGGGGGTATAGTCATAAGGAGTTTGCCTTTTGGGTTCTGAAGCCTTTTTCACTGATAACCTGGTCCTCAGCTGCCAGTTACTTTGTGTGCATCGCTACCTTTTCTACTGCACCAGTAACTTGAGACATTTGTGTAACTGATTGAATGCCCCAAAACTGACAGAGATAATCAAATGGTAGACCTATTTTTGGCAGTATGTGGTAAAGTTTGAGTAAGTGTGACTCAAGCAGTTTATTTAAGTGGGAAAGAGACCATTGGTTTATTTCATTGCAACTTAAATGTAAACATTTAAAAGATAACATGTAGAGGTTTGTCGAAGAAGCCATATAGATATTTAAAACTCCAACATATTAGACTGTCTTTTTTTCTTTCAAACATATGAAACATAAACAGATTTCCCTAACATTTGTCTTGCATATTTATTTTTCCATTAATACTCGGCCAATCTCTGCTGGGATCAGCTAGTCGTTGTTTTTTGAGGCGTTCCAAACTGTGTTACCAACAGGGAAACTGCAGAAAGTCTCTACCTTCAAACTATGGAACATCAGCACTAACAATAGTTTAAGGATGTGTCTTGTCTCTTCTTTACTTTTTTAATTTTTGCTTTATCAGCAATTATAGATGCTGATACTGAAAGGCATTTACTAACAACATATAGCCAATATGGGCCAACCAGTAAATTGTTGGTGCTCTAATATAAAGTTGTATACTTGAAGTCTTGCTTCAGCCAGGTTGATCTCTACCTTAGCATATAAATTTGGTTTTAATACGAGCAGACGATACTTTTTATGGGGAATTAGACAATTATTAGCTCTTTTATATTTGAAGTGCATACCATAAGGGTATCTCGCTGATACTGATACCTTCAAACACTGCACAACAACATTGCGAAGGACATTTGCTTCGCCCCCAATTCCAGTTAATGGTTTTATTTATATTATACAATGTAAAATGTAAAAAAGTACATTTTACAATGAATTACATTTTTTTAAATTAAATGTGGATTTCTAAGATTTGCAAATCATTGCATTCTGTTTAAATTTTACAAAACATCCTAACTTAATTGGAATTGGGTTAAGTTAATATTAGCTTTGAGGCACTATGATTTCTCTCTATTCAAGAGAGGTCAAGAGAATAAAGTTCAATAGAATCTGTGCCGAGCTGAAATAAAAAACATTATCGTCACTACTATTCATCACTGATTATTTATCCCTAATTTTCCATTAAAAAGAATTCTATGCATTTCTCCTTTTTTATTTTTTTTTATTTGAAGTATGAAACATTATTGACTTTCAAGTCACTCGCTTTGAAGCTAAATGCATGTGTGTTACATGTGCACTGGTATTTATGGCGGCTAACCACCATTTCCACATTACCAATTTACCTTTAGCCCTGGTGGATGAATTGATAGACAGATAACAACTCAGAAGGTGTCTGTCCTTTACCTCTTTCCTTCATTTCCGCAATTTTTCTTTACCCGACATTTTCAAACCCAACCAAGCCTTCAAATTGACCATATCCTAAGTGTGTTTTCACTTTGTCATACACTACTAGTACTTAGAGATTTCCCCATTTCCATCAGCACGTCATTAACCTTTAAGCAATGTATGTTTTCAAATCACGTACAGTGTTGCTTTTTCCTCCCCACTGCTGAATTAAGAAATGAGCCTGTCTCTAATGGTTTTTCTCATTCGGCGAATCACTTTTATGTATTTTCAAAGCCAGCATTTCCATCATTGCCCCTGCCCGCTGTATCAACAGCAGCCCCTCTGCAACAGCAGGAGTTTATCACCATGTTTCACAGAAAATTGAACACGCGGCCACATTATATCTCGTGTGCATGCAATGAGTCAGGGTCAGAGAAACATCCAGATATTCACACACATATGCTTCCAGATGTGCACATGTATAAAGACAGTAACGCACCCACCAATGCAAGTGTTCCCACACTTTTAGACCAAGTGTACTCTGTGTTGTGCACAGCATCTCTATGCTCATACATCATTAAGTGAGCCTGGGTGTTATTATGGAGAAGATGCAGTGTATTAGATGCCCTGACAGATTGTGTCAGGGCCTGCAATCCTATCAGGATTGGATAATAAAAAGACACTTAATCTAGGCAGTTCCCTACAGTCCTTTGCACACAGAATAAAAAATCCTGATGATCATTCTGTGCTCTAACTGTCCTTGTCAAATTTTCTCCTCCCTCTGTCCCATACTAAAATATAAGTTCAATAATTACAAGTTAATCTCAATCTCCACCATTCATCTGCCAAAACATTTCCCATGAAAAGGCACAGAGTTATAGCCCACCAACGTAAAATGCGTTTATTACCTTCTCGGCAACTCACTAATGGGCCATAGAAATAGGTCCCTGCATCAGTATGGATGACTAGAGTATGATCAGCTAATTTATGAGGACCTTGTCTCATCAGTAAGACCTGAGATGTGGGACAGTCAACTTAGCATGCTGTCCTTCTGGTGTGCCCCATTTTACTATCATTCATGATAAATAGGGGCATGACAGACACAACAACAGCCAATCCGTCACCTTGTTGAAAGTCATAGAGTCTGAGACATACTGTCTGCCTATGCTCTTCTTCTATCCCTGCCAGAGAGGAGCCAAAAATGAGCTCAGTAAGGGTAATGACAGAGGTATAATGCGGGCACATTGCCTGTTATAGTTTGTGAAGACACTTTTATAATGCTCTCTATCTATAGAAATATACCTGATAAATTCAGTTAACTTCTCCCTCGTCTTGTTTTCTTTCCTGACAGTGGAGAGTAATCCATGCCAGACCAATCCTTGCCTCCATGGTGGAAGCTGCCTGCAGGAAGGGGATGGTTACAGTTGCTACTGTCCTCAGGGGTTCTCTGGAGAGAGCTGTGAGATCGGTGAGTCACTGCCAGGTCAGGTATGAGTGAGGGAACCTCAGAGGTCAGCAGCTGCAAACTGCTGTGTCCCTGAAGCATAGGGGGAAATAATGACAGGCATATTCTGACTTAACATTTAACATATGCAGTCTACTGTGAGGTGACTTCACGAGGAAATGGCAGATTGCCTCTGTGGGCCTTGTTTCCATATTATGTGTTTGAATAACTGATTACAATCTCAGCCGCTTCACTGTCAGGTCCAGGAGGCCTGGGTCAAGCTCCCTGACTGAAAATGAACATGAAATCTCCATATGCTGCAAGTCGGCCGTTTGTGCCAGAGGCTGTTCAAGATGAAGTATAGAGTATGTGCCTCAACTGTGTGTGAGTGTGTGTGTGTGTTTTCACCTTCTGCCCTGAGAGCAGTGGGCAGCTCATGTTTCCACTCAGCTATGTGATGTGAGAATGTGTCTGTCAGAAAATGGCAGTGCAGTGATTTAGGTGAATGAGGCTGTGTGTGTGACACAAGGACATATAGGCCACAGAGGAGCTCTGAGCTCACTGAGCAGTGGAGCAGCTGATTAAAGTATTGTCGAAGCGGTGCACGCCGCAGTGGATGAGGGAAAATACAGCAAAGAAAAGGAAGATGTGGCAGTAGTAGAAAATATCAAAGTGACTTTACTACTTTGAATGGCACTTTAAAAACTGAGAAACACTCAGTGGAAGACTTTGACTGAGCTTAAACACATCACCTTTGATGCAAAGTTGTTGACAGCATTCAGTCTGACATTGATTCTGGGTCCTGGCCAAATTTCTGTGGGAATACTACAGTAAATGTTAGCTTGTGCACAAGAGTTACACGATGTTGCAGTATGTGCATATCAAGCCATGTCCTGTTTTTGTGTTGTCCTTGCTGTAACAGCTCCAACAGATGAATTACAAACATCTCCAGTTGTGGTTCCGTCGTCCATGGTCTGATGTCTATGGTGTGATGGTCTTTTTCAGTTTTTCACAGTCATCCATGCAAAGACATTCGGCCACGCTGTGGTTTTAATGATCAATACTTATGGAAAGGAGTCACAGATCAGGGGTGAATATATTGACCTGGCTCTGATTATTCAATGCCTTTTAATGCTTTGACTCAAAAGTACCTATTATATAACATTTAGGCATGCCTGTGCATGAATGTCATTGAGGATCAATCAACACAACACTGGATCAATGAAAATTGATGCCAAATGAATGTATAACATCCACGAATGCACTTTGTAATGATTTTTAGCCATTGGATTTGGTTAAGGCTGCATAAAGCTTGATGGTTTATAGAAGCAGCTAGAATAAATTGTGATATTTTAGCTAAAATGTTTGGGCAGAAAAGCACTAAAAAGTCACAAAATATTGGTTATTTACTTATTTCTTCATTTCTGTGTCTCTCTTTGGCTTTCTTTTCTTTGAAGTTGTTATTTCCCAATGTAACTAAATTGCTGTGATGGCAATTAGAACAGCTGCATATCTGATGTGTTTTGCTATTACTTACCGCTAAAGGCAAAAAAGGTTAGCAACCTATAACAGAACATGCTTGACTACAATTTAAATATGTGCTATTTTGAAGAGGGAGTAGAAAGTCAGCTTTAATAACAGTGTTTCATTTCACATGTGTAGCCTCAGTGTCCTTAATCAGTCACTGATGGACAGCTTATTGAAGAGCTTCCATCTTTTTTCTTCTGGTTCAAATTGATTTTAGACAGCCAATACAATCCTATTATAGCCATAAAATCCAATAAACCAGTATTCCACCCATTGCCCCTACTCCATACAAGGTGATTATTTAGGCAAAATGATGCAATGTCATCCTTAGGGACTGTCTCTGGAACTTTTGGGAATTCTTTGGCGAAAAGCATTTTAAAGAACTGGTGTCTTCATGCTTTTTGTTTCCTCTGTGAGTTTGTAGTTAGTATTTATGGAGGTGTGACAGTGTAAAAATTATCTTCCAACTCCACTCTAACTTCTATTCAGGGCTCTAACTTTATCTAAACCCACAGAAGGCTGTCAGTAAGACATATGGGCAGTAATAAATCTAAAGACATTAACAATCTTGTTTGAAGTTGTGGTATCCCACTGATCATGAGAACCAATTTTTAGAATGCTGCAATAGAAAAAGTGGTTGATGAGGCACATCAAAGCCTCTAAGTTTGATGGCCATGTGTTGATACACAGTGATTCAGTTCAGTTCAGTTATTTTTATTTCAAACATTTCAAACATGTGCCTTCACAATCATTACAAAATATCATTCCATTATTTGTTTGAAAAGGAGTAGGCTGAAGTATTTACTTATTTGTCCCTACCCCCTCAAGTTTTACCTCTCATTCATTTAATTTTTTTTTTGTCTTAAATTAAACAAACAACATATGAAACATATAAACATATGAAGTAAAACAAAACATAACATACATAAATCAAAAACAAGAAATTAGCAAGCCCCACCACAGTATAGTTTCTTTCATATGAAAAATACAGAATGTGTATATTTGCAGATACACAAGTTATGGAAAAACAACAAACCAAAACAAAACAAAAAAACAAAAAAACAACCAAAAAAGAACCGCAACACCATTACCAGCAACATTACCATCCTGGGTTAACCCCGTTTTCTTCATTCTTATACTTATTTAAAATTAGGTTTTTATATTTTACTTTAAACTGTTTTATGTTTTGACTGTCTTTTATTTCTTCTGTTAGACTGTTCCATAATTTAACTCCTGAAATGAGATTGACATAGTTCGTGATTAATTATATTATCCATATCCCACAGCTGGAATGAGTTGGAGATACAGAATAATTTAATAAACATTTACTGCACAAATAAAATAGTTGAAGGACTTGTTGAAGTGATTATCTTTAATGATTCTTGTTGTAACAATGAAGTGTGTGGATTGCAACGTTAAGGTAAGGAGGCAAAGTTGACAGTTAACAGAAAGCTTTTAAATGCTATCCAAACAAATGCAACTTGAGCGGGGACAAACAAGAGCTTGTGAAAGGTAGGACACAACAGGTACATTCACAGAAAGCCTGACAAAGAGGGCAGGACTATTTATACACTGGAGGCTAATTGAAAACTAGAAAAAAGAAGCACATTCTGAGATGCATTACAAACCTAATAACTAACGCAGTTCACTATACAGCACACTTAATTATCAGGGCTCTAGACTAACTTTTGCCATGGGCGTACTGGTACGCCTAACTTTAAAAAGTTAGGTGTACCGGCACAAAAGTTAGGCGCACACAAATTTTATAATAATTTATATAATATAATGTGTTTTTCTGGATACACTGTGCTTTTTCAGCATTCAAAGATTGATGACACCGTGTCAGAGCACTGGCTATGAATTTCAGAAGGATCAGGCCTTAACTTAACAGAAAAGTTATCAATAGTTCTTTTCCTATTACAGCTACATCCACTTCTGTCGTGCCTAGGCTGCTCACTAGGGCTGGGTATCATCACTGATTTCTATAATCCATTCGATTCCGGTTTTCAAAGTCCCGATTTGATTCAACTTAGCCTCAGACAGTCAGAAATATTATAATTCTGATCATTTATCAGTACTGACTTCATCAGAATTGTGAACATCACAGCAGATGCCTTTGTGTGAAAGTAACTGAGAATAAAACACAGAAAAACATGAAGGAGATTTTCCTGGTCTGGCTTTTTATAGCAGATAACCTTAAAAATATTCTACAATGTTCTGTATATAAAGTTTAAATTTCTTCAGTATTGAGCAACAGAAAAAATAGGCTTTGTTGTCCGAGGTCATTTAAGTGACAAAAAGAAAAAGAAAAGAAAAAGACAGCAGCCGACAGCGCTGTAAACAACGGTAGACTGGTGGGTAATAAGCGAATGAATAATACAGAAAACAGAGATTGGAGACGGGAAACTGTTCTTGAAGTACAGAGAGAGATAGAGAGAGAGCTAGCTGTGCATGAAGTGTGTTTTTAATAGTCGTGGAAGCAAAACAGCAAAATTCATGATGACATTGATCAAATGTGAAGCGTAGTTTGCTGCTTCTTTTGCTGCTGGCTTGGTGAATTTTGGTTGGAGAGAGACAAAACCTGCAGCTCAGAATCAGCGCAAAAAGACGTAATCACAGCGCGGACCGGACGCATCAGAATCGCTAAGCTCCGACAGCATGTCCGTCTACAGGCCGTCGGGTGAGAAAGCCGAGAAAGACAAAGCTGATTCTGATGCGTCGGCTCTGTGTTTACGTCTTTGTGTGGAGTGCATGTACCTGCTCTCGTTTGCTGTTTGGTTGTTGTTGAAATGGTTTTGTGAGCTTTAATCTGAGAATCTGGCGTTTCTGGCAAAACACAGTTATATTTAAAAGTCGATTCAGGATTTAATGAATTGATATCGCTTTATTCAAGCTACTCACCTCCCACTTCCACCTGCACTTTCAACTGGACCACGGCCAATCAGAGAGGTCCCGCCCCTTACTATCTCTGATTGGTTTAGTCCACGATAGGGGCATAATGTGTGTCTGTTGTTGACCACAGGGAAGGTTGCAGATTTTTTTTTTTTTTGCTACCCGAACAGTTGGTCGCACAGGTGCAACCAAATATTTTTTTTAGTCGCACCACTGAAAAATTTGGTCGCATTTGCGACCAAATTGGTCGCACTCTAGAGCCCTGATTATTGTTGAGTGATGACTAAAAGGCTTGTTGAGAAATGATAGGTATGTGTGGGTGCGAAATGTTGGGTGCTTTTAATTAAAAAAATGAAAGGACTTAAGTTTGTGTGAGCCAAACAACTTTAACAAGAGCACAGCAGCACAACAAGCATCGACTTCGTACATCTACTTTTCAAAACAGAGATCTGCCAGCCTTCTACAACTGAGGTTAATAAAAGCCCCATTTACTTTTTTATGAAAAAACACACAAACCAGATGCAGTGCCCCCAGGCATTAGTGTATCCCAAGTAACCATGATAATAAATATTAAATCTTGTTTAAAAATCTTTCTTATATTTATT